GCTGTTTCCTGGGTTTTGAAGAAACGATCAGAGGACTTCGTTAGCTTTCCTGAAGTACCTGTTTATAAACGAGGACTGCACAAAGCCGATCAAAGATATCAGATTCAGAGTTTTCATAAAACAAATTGTAAGAAACATGTAAAACGAGAGAGACTGTGTATTTGTGTTGTTTGTACCTTCTCAATTGCTGTTAGGTCAGAGTGTGTCTTGTGAAGTCGATGGATAAAACTTGTATAACTTCATTTCTCTATAGGCTTCCTTTGTTTCTTCGCTCATTCCTTCCTTTACTTTCTCGCGAGCTTCTTTCGCCTGCCAGTTGTACAATTAGCTGTTAGCATTGTTATATATGTGCACAAAACTCTCTGTTGCGAGTATGAAACATACAATACCTCTGTATCAGCCTTCTCAGCTTTGTCACCTTGCTCTTTGACAATCTCCTCGAAGAAAAAGGTAACATGTCTGAGTGATTAGAGAAAACCCTCAAAAGCTTTCATTAACTAATTCCAGCTCTTCCTGACCTTGAACTCATCCATCTTGTCTGCGGGTAATGCCTCCTCTTCGATCAGGTCGTCGTTGAATTCCTGAAACTAACTGAGATGAGAAAATTCTGTGAGACCAAAAGTAGTTAAAAATATGGAAAAGTCGGATAATGCACCTCAAGGTTGCCCACAGCCCAGTCATAGTCACATACAACCTGCACAAAGGAGAAGAACATTGAGTTTGACTAAACAACAAAGATGGAAATTGTATAGTCGAAACATTTGACACTCTCAACACATTTCACTGCATGTCCCAAATTAGCTTACTGTTGGTTCAGAAGGGAAGGTTATTTGGACCACAGTGCTCTGCTCAGATTCATCTTCCTTAAATGGGTTGTTGATATCTCCAAATAAGAAATTAAAAAACAGTAATGTTTAGAGTCTGATGTCGCGACCACACGGAAATAAAGAGCCAGATCACAACAATGACTTAACAAAACATATTTTAAGTATGAAGACATATTTTAAAAAAAAATATCCAACAGGGATAGATAAACAATATGATCAAGGAACCTGATTAACCTGCCGAGTTAATAATTCAAGAATCATTAACATGATAGAAAATACGAAATCAATGCTTACACAAACGACTGCAGGAACAAGGACAGTCTTGTCTTCATCTTTGTAACGGACTGAATGAGCTGCAATGATGAGATAAGAGGAAATCAAAAGGGGGAAGAACAACCAGCAACCAGATGGAATTTCAAGCAAATCAGACAAAGATAAATGTCAGTCTAATCTACTATACAAAAACAAGTCTACGAATAATCAAAAGGAGGAAAGAAATAAGTTTACACTCTATGCAGCCAAAAACATAGACTTTCTTCCCATAGAGATTTCTGTCATGCAAAGCAAATAGCAACTTCTTGTGAGTTTTTTCACACACCAAGAAATACTTTCCGAACACTTCAAGATTTTTCACACATCCAATTGATCCCACTGTTTTAATAATTTACCAAGCATAAACCACAGATACAACAGATTAATTATCTAGAGAAAAAGGTTGCCAATGTTGAAGCCAAACTTGTTGAAACTAATACCTCAGTTGGAACTGGGAATGCATCCTTCCACAAATCCTCCTGAAAAAAACCATTTGATTACTAAACTACTAATTTTCTTTCAATTTGCATCTTACGAGTCTACGTCTACAAAGACCAATTAAGGTTCACTTAGGCACATATTCTATGGACCGATCCCTTTACAGATCAATAATGGGCCTAACCGGTTAGGCCCATACAGGTAAAGCTGCTTCGGAGATTTTAGCAGATGGAAGTTTTCTTGATTCTTGAAAATTGGTGGTTGACCCCCAAAAAAAAAAAATCTTGAAAATTGGTTTTACAATATTTTTCTGATACATTAAACTAAGAGTAACGAGGAACTTGAAAAGATGGAATTATATTAACATAAAGATTCGTTCACAATTTGGGAAATGTTGTCACAATCACTGATTGAATGAGTAACCAAAAAAATAATCATAAACTTTTTCTATTCAATTTGCATACAAAAATATTATACTACAACCAACTTTGTATAGTATGCATCTGCATTTATTCGTTTTTCTCTG